TTTTTTTTTTACCAGTGTATCTCCTCTCCATTTTGAGTTCGATATGTACTGTGCACACAGCACACTCGTAATCTCCCTAGATTTAGACTTTGCGATCTCTGTATTCTTCCTCACCTAGACACTCTGGAAGAATTGACCATTGATCTAAGTCCACCAGGAAATCGAAGATGACGATGGGGGTTACCTTGTCAATAATGAGCTGGATTAAGCTTGATCACAGCGTTAGATGGGCACCAACAGTCTCAAGGAATGCACCTGAGAGGCTTAGGTGTTTACAAGAAGCATGTCTAGAGTATGTAAAGTTCCGTACTACTGTCCAGTTAGGTTATTCATATACCAGCCCTTGGAGGGATAAACCATTCCGAGCCTCTTTCTTTCATCATCAATCAGGTGTTGCGACCACTCCTTATGTTTGTTTCATTCCTGGGTTCACTTGCTTCTACCTAACGCGATGATCTGAGAATAGACATACGAAGAGTTTGGGGGAGGAAATAAAGTGAAGGCCAAGGAAGAAAGGATATTTTTATTTGATTCGCCCCCCTTCTCTTAAACCCCTTTGCACAGTTCTTTGTCTACCTTTACCCCCAAGTATCGGCATTTCCTCTTTATCCGCCATATCTTTCGGTGACCAACACAGTCCGCCGCTGAAATTGCCCCTCCGGATTTTGGGCACCGACCACTCTCTGATCATCTCACGAGGCACCTGTTCCCAAGGCGAAGATTGGGAAGAGAAGGATCCGGCTTTGGTCTGGCATCAATTGTAACAGTCATCATCTTATATATTTCCTCATATCTACTTGGCTACGGTACGTAGATGTTATTGGGCGGTCCAGTTCGGTTCCGGTGACACCAATTCCCCCAAGATGTTTCCATGTGGCACTGCGAAAAATAAAAGGATGGAGCTGATTGTCGGCCCTTTGACAAGATAGGAAATTGAAAGGTAGCTTAAACATTTCACAGATTCGCCCGGGGTGTGTTTTTCTTCATTTGTGATTCTCCTTCCAACCCGTCCCGCGTTAGCAACCAGCTCCAGTTTGCGGCTCCACTCAAGTTTTTTTTTTTTTTTTTTTCCCTTCTACTCCGTATTCTTTTCCGTTGTTGCTCCCCCTTCCCACTTTTGTTTTCTTACAGCAGGCTCGAAACCGAAACCGAAGTATAGACCAGAAAAAAAATCTAAGAAAAAAGAAAATAAAAAAAGCGATCTGTCAATTCTCGGTGGCTTGTGGTAATTCTCTGCAAACCAGGATCCCGGTCCAGGTTACAAGACCCAGCCAAGCAGTCAATCAATCTGTCAGAAGGAGGCGCGTCAAAAAGCAACGAAAGACCATAGAAGAGTCGAGAGGAAAAAAAAGAAAGATTGTTAAGAAAATAAGCACAACAGAGAGGAGGAAGGGGGAAAAGTACGACTGCCTTCTGTTATTGCTTTCATTTCTATCACCACTGGTGCTGTTGAGATTGTTGTTTCTATTGTTGTTGGTATTATTTGGATTATTATTATTATTATCTGTAAAGGAGGAGACGGAAGTTCTTCACCCATTCATACTACTGACCACTAGACACTTCTCCCTCCGGACATTCCCTCCACTTCTAGGGTTTAGAAAAAAAAAAAAAAAAGAAAAAGAAAGAAAGAAACCCAGAAAAAGAGGGGCAAGTCACTCTTCATCTCAGTCATCAGTCCCATCCATCAATCAATCAAGAATTTGCTATCACAGTTCTGTTTGTCGGTGGATTGACGTTCCCCATCCGTTATTATTCTTATTATTACTGCTATTGTTATTGTTTTTCTTATTACCACCTCTCTTTTATTTTTTTGCCCCCATACCTGTCTATCATTTTCACCGTTCCGCGACTCTTATTTGCCCCTACTTCACTTACTTTGTTTCCCCAGCAGATCATTCATTCCCACTTGGCCACAGTCGGGTCCCTTAGGTAGATACCTACCGACTTTACTGGGTCCTCAAACCGCCCCTCTTCCTCATCCTTCATCCACTAACTACTGACCACTACTACCAACTACCACTACCCGGACTAACTAATCACCACTTTATCTCAGTTTTCTTTCCTCTCAGGCTCCCACACCTGACGGTAAGTTCTTTGACTTTTACCTATTCCAGCTTAATCCCTCTTTCTGCAGTGTCTCCATTGCCATCCCTCCGTTCAACTCTGGCAGTGACTTCCCGCTTTTTGTCAATATCTTTTGACTCTTTTCTAATAAACCAGAGCAGACCCGACCTTTTTTCCTTTTTGGCTTTCCCACCGTTCGATCTGCTGTCGCGCACCACGCGACCCGACGGCTTGGCTTAGCTATCTCCCAACTGATCGGAGAGTAGAGGCAGTGCCAAACGACCGTCGTATTTTATTTCATCCTTTGGGCCACCACGGTGTACGTACTACTATCTTATTACTACTATTATTATTGTCGTCGCGATTTAGGATTCTCTTGCCGTTATAAGAACATCATCAGCACTATTTTACAACCGGTTTACCCCTGTTCTAGCTTCGTTGGTTTGCTCCTTAGCTGCTCTTTCTTTTTTTTTTTTTATTAAATTTCTTTTTTCTTTTTCTGTTTCTTTCTTTTTATTTTTTTCCCTTAATTTCTCGTTTCCCTTTTCCCTTTGCGCTCCTCTTCCTCTTACCTGATTTGGACGCCTCGTCTGCGCATCTCGGCGTTATAAAAAAGAAAAGTACCTATACGGAGTACTCCGTACTGGAGAAGGGATTACTTACATACGTTATTTTCTTCCACTGACCAGGGTCGGTGTGCCCACTCCAGTCGTTAGCTCCTGCGCGGATCTCGTTCTCTTCCATTTTACCCCCCAGCTTATACTACTTATGACAGGTACTAAGCATTCTGAGCTCTGTCTTTGATGTCCGACCTATTATTACTGTTACCATCATTCTGGGTTTCGTTTTGCATTAGCTTTCCTTTGCCTTTACTACCATTTCTTACCTAATTCCCCCAGTTCTTCTTCCTTTATTATTTATTTTCTCTTACATTTTCTAGCCAATGTTGCATTTGGTTGACGGTTGATAATACTGTCTTTGCGATCGTTATCTTTCAAACCCACTATAGCTGACTATCACAAGCTATTAAGTTGTGGACAGTTGCTCCCAGCCGGCAATCAAACAGCCTAGAAAACCTTGCACCTTTATTCGCGTGATATCTAGAACGTCAACATAACCGGTCTGGCGTCGCCGCTCTGTTCAAATACCGCAAGTTGATACAAGCTCCACGAAAGAGAACGCAACCAACTCACTGCAAACAACTGAGATCTTATTCTCAAGAGCTAATTGCCAATTTTGGGAACATCTGGCGAAGCCCTTACTGTGGTAAGACTCCACCACCTCACTAATTCGGTGTAACTCACCAGAGTGTGGAGACCTAAACCCGTCCTTGATAGCATTTCTCTGGGACATGATGTCCTCATGACCGTATGTCTCTCGCACTGAACCGACCGTCCACTGCGGATCTGCGGCGATCTGGTGATCCTAGCCGTAGCTGCGGACCCACGATTATGGAAATTATCTCAACGGACGATAAGCCGAAAACACTTCCTGCCTTTTCTGGGCCTGCGGCCCCAATGCATCGCATTCCTCCCGACGGATCGCATGGTCCACCGAGTGTGCCGGGAATGTACGAACAGCCATGGCGTCATTACCCTCCCTACGAAGGTCACCCTGTAGAACAACGTCGAACATCTACTGCTCCTCCACCATTATCTTCACATGGGTACCCTGTTATCCCGAATCGCGAACTACCGCAGCTTCCTCCCGACGGCCCGTATAGCAGACAGGGAAGCCTAACAGGCCCAAAACACGCACCGACGGAAGCGCATCCATCGTTCCGGGGTCCCGTGAATGGGACACCTCATGAGCCGGCACCACATTCTGCGCCGCCTGAGTATCGATCTCGGATGTCTTTTCCCCCTCAAGAGCCACATAGTAATGGCGACGCTCCGCCTCCATTACCGCCACACTCAATTCCCCCAGCTCCGTATTCTACCCCTGTTCCGCCTATGTCTCATACACCTGCCCCATATGACTCTAGCTATTACCAAAGCCAGGCCTATGGTATTCGCCAGCGCAAGGCTGCACGAGCACAGCAGGTAAGTTAACTCTTATCCTCTTTGCCGCAAAGTGCCACACTGCATATTTATATGTGAAAGGAGAAGGTGTTGCTGACATATGTTGCTTGCTCATGGTTAAAGGCTTGCGATCAATGCCGAGCGAGGAAAGCAAAGTGCGATGAAGGTCGGCCGTCATGTAGTCATTGCAAGGAAAACAACTTAAACTGCGTGTACAAAGAAGTTCCTCCGCACAAGTCTGTGTTTCTAGCTCTTCCATTCCACTACTCTGTACCAATGATTGAAGGACGCTAACAACACACGCAGACAAGAAAAGGCGACCCAGCTCTTATTGGATCGATTACAGTCGTTCCAGGACGCTATATTGGACAGATTCGATCGTTTGGACCAGCTTAATACGGAGCATGGGAACAATTTTAATTCCATCCTGGCAAAGATAGACGCCAAGTCCGCACCTAAGGAACCACGGAAACCGGCAGTCCCGCAATTAGCAAAGAAGGACATAATCGATATTCAGGAATCCAAAGCCAAGGATGAGAATATTGCTACAATGCAGGAGCAGATACCAGAACCAACTGAAACGGCCACAGAGCAAGTTGTTCCCTCTGGTGAGGATGGTGAGCTCTCAATCCCTGTAGAGCATACAACGGCGGCTCACAAATTGCTGTTGTGGCCTTCTATTCGGAACCTTCTTCGTCCAAGAGAGTATGATGAGGATTACGTGATGAAACTCGAAGAAAAAAGGGGCTTAATTCGTGTCTATGGTCGTGGAGAGGGAGATGAGACCAGTGAAGACAATGGCCTGTCGCCTCCGCCAACGACCTTGAGCACCAGCTTCAATGAAAACCAGCCATACTATCCGACTTCACCCTCTAATGGACCTTGGGGGGTGTACGTGAACCAACCCCAGATTAAACTTGAAAACAAAGGGCTTGACGAGAATGGTATGCTAACTGCAGACCCTGATATGGTTCGTCGTTATCACAAGAGCTATATGAAACATATGCATCAGCTTCACCCATTTCTTGATCAGAGCGACTTAGAGAACAAAGTCGATTATTTTATCAGGATGTACTGCCCACTGAAAGGTCCTATGCCGTCCCCAGGATTACTGAACAATCATGTGAATGAGATGCCTCGAGGCGCAAAACGAAAGCGTTCATGCGAAAACTTACAAGGCGTGGGATGTGATGTGCAATCCGCTGCTGAACAGGGTAGCGGCCGGCGGATAGAAAAATCTATCTATAATGCTATTATTCTTCTGGTCCTCGCGCTTGGCAGTATCTGCGAAGCCAATCCTGTGCCCGGCCCAGTCACAGACCAGCCGGTGGACTTCCGAAAAGAAACAATACCTGGTCCTCCTACGCACGGTATACTATCGCCGGCAGGTTCAGATTCTCTTCCTCAGTCGCAAGGCAGCGGCTATGTCACGGAAAGTCACACCTTTGCATCTCCTTCATTGGTGGGCAATCGACAGAGCGGTGTCGAGGGGAACCCAATATCCCAAGACAAGAACTTGGATTATATTCCTGGCTTAGCATTTTACGCATATGCTACCCAGATCCTTGGAAGTCTTCAAGGAGCAAATAGACTGCCTCACGTTCAAGCAGCCTTATTAGCAGGACTTTATGCAGGCCAGCTAGCGCACCCCTTCCAGAGCCACGGATGGATTTATCAAGCCGCCAGGGCTTGCCAAGTTTTGGTTCGATCGTAAGGATTGCTATTTCCATTCAAGCAATCATAGTATATGACACTGATTAGACCTCTAGAAAGCGTTACACACAGATGCCTGATGGCCCCGACAAGGACCTTTACGATTTTGCGTACTGGACCTGCCTTCAACTGGAGAGGTATGTGTGCACCTTCTGTACCTTTCCTTGCTTTCTTTTCACTATAATGTCGCAGAAGTACTGAACTCGTATCCAGTGATATACTAGCAGAACTTGATCTTCCCGCTAGCGGCATATCACGCTCGGAAGCTCGCATCTCCTTACCAAAGGGACGGTTTACTCTTAACCTTCCGAATGAAATCTCCGCCCCAAGTACTATGATGATGTTTTTTTACTCGGCCCAGATTCATCTAAGAAAGGTTCTCAACCGTGTCCATACTGATCTATACAAAGTTGAAAGTGAGTTTTTGGTACTTGGACATGATATCAAGTTAAAGAAATGCTAAGATAATTGTCCACAGAGCAAGGACAGACCCATTGGTCATCGCACGTTCAAGAAATCTTAAGTATGAATCTTGAACTTTGGCGAAACAGCCTGCCTGCTGTGATGAAGTGGAAAGACACAGATCCACCATCAGAAGAGATTAACGTCGCGCGGATGCGAGCTAAGTACTATGGTGCACGTTACATTATCCATCGTCCCTTACTGTATCACGCCCTTCACCACTATGGCCAATTAGACCTTCGCGCATCATCGGATGGTCCGTCTACTGAAGCTACTGCTATGGCTGCTTCTAAGTCGCAGCAGATATCACCATCATTGAGCCATAGTCAAGGTGCCACGAACATGGCACGCCTGTCAAGTGATATAGGCCCTGCATCTGGGTTTACAGGGATTGCACACCGCGACTTGCCCACAAAGCTACGAAGAGCTTGTAAAGTTTGTATTGATTCAGCTATGCTAAGTACAGTGGCCTTTGATGGCATAAAGGGTCGTCCAGTGGTGACCAACATTTTTGGTACCGCCCATGCGTACGTGAAACACCACCTGCTTATACTACGCGTAGGCTAGAGTGCATCAGCTGACATTGTTTATTGTGCCCTGACAGACAATTTGGTAACATGTTGGTATTGTCCGCTACATACATGTCTAGCCTCTCGGAACTAGTGGATCGAAACGAGCTCGAGAGACTTCTTAAGCGAACGATTAACTTCCTGCTGCAGAGCCGTTATATTTCTCCTAGTCTCCGAGCTGACGCGCGAATTCTTACCGAAATATACGAGAAAATATTTGGAAATCCCTCAGACTGGAGGGATACAACTGACTAAGCTTGGCAGCCTGGCCTATCTGGATTTCAAATTCATGATCGATAGCACTGCTGGCGTCTCCGATGCACGCCTCAGCTAAACGAGTACATTCAAGCTGAGCGACGCCCCTAGGTGGCTATAGTGTTCGTTACAAGTCGCTGGCACTTTGATTTTTCTGCTCTAACAGTGGGCTATCGCGAACTTGCTTCAACATTTAATTTCGTATCTAACTCATGATATATACGTGTATTTGCATGGTGGCTCATTTGGTTATTTTTCGTCTCTATTTTAGATACCACCTGCATTTGTGGTTTGTGTCTGTGGTCTTGTCCTGTGCATGTGGGGAGGAAGGGTGGCTATCTGACGGTTTTCTCTGTTGACTTTGATTTTGTTCTTCTGTGGTATTCTAAAGGTCTCGGTCGGCGTCGACTGCACCTGCTAATCGAAGCAGGAAATGGGTACGGGAGGGATCTTTCATTGCATTTCTAGCGGTTCATGGAGGACTGCCTCCGCATAAAATACATTCTGAAACTTCGTATGGAGTACTGCGCAGTGCATCTTGCAGGTTAGGTGACTATCATTTACGATACTAGATTACGGACGGCTCTTGTTATTGTTGCTTGTTGGAATGATGGATGTTTTTGAGTCAAGGGCGCATGCTGATTAAATCAATGGAAGTAAGCTGTATCTGCACATTTTCTTGCCTGTTCGACATATAGCGTTCACGGTACCTCCCCAGTTTTCGCGTGAAATGGTGACTAAGGTATACATGAACCTTGAGTGGCCTCGGCTGTTCGTCCCTTGTATCTACCGTATCTTAAGCCTATGGCGCAGGTTGGAGTTGGCCTACGACGGCTACGACTTTGCTCAACTGTCAGATCTGCGTTTGAGATTTGTGCCAAAGGGAACGCCTTTCCCTTTGGGTATGACGGTTTGACCTCCTTCTCTTCTGATTATAGTAGAAGCGTATCCACGCCCAAGGTTGTTCGCCGATGTGTTGGAGACGGCCATTGCAGGTTGTGATAAGGATGGTCATGTTCCATGGATGTTGCACCGAGCTTATTCGGATCCTTGCCTGCCTCAGGCATCAGTACCAGCAACCAAGGTCCCAGTTTGTTTCGTACGTACCACATTAACCGGGGCGGGGTGGAACCCTGCAACCGAAGAATCAGCAGTACTCCGTAGTAATAACTAGTACAGAATAGTAGTACTATTCAGTAGAACAGGCTGGGTCAGACACTTTAGACATGTCTACTGATTTTGTACAAGATAGATCACTTCTAATTATGGGCACTAGTGAACTAAAATCATAATATTGTACATATTGTGGCCCCAGCCATCTCTGTGTTGATTATGTGCATCGAGCTGTCCCGCACGTGCAACCAGGGCACCCACACCTCACCGCGATTTCGAATCTTTCCAACTAACCTTCTCTGCATTCCTCACTTTTTAGCCTACTATAGGGAAGGCATCTCATCCTAGATCGAAACTCAGTTTATCTCCCACATTATCAGCCTCCCCGCATTCCTTTAATTCTCTACCGTATCTCTCCCCTCTATTCCATCAGACCCGAGCTGTCGCTTCATCCTTGCTTGAGAGTGCTAAGTCCTCTCGATCGCCCTAACTAGCGGCACGATTGTCTGGAGCAACCAAACTTAGATTGCTAACCAAAGTGGTCCTCGCCTCCGCTAGAAGCTGGGGCCCTCCGACTTCCGACCAAGGAGGGAAAAAAAGAGCCACGGTTCAGCTGCGCCAATGTTTACTACTCTTCCGTCGCAAAAACAACTTGGCTGAACTGACCGAGCAATCTATACGCGTCCTTTTTGTTCCTAATAGTTAAATTTTCACTCCCACTCTTCTATTCCCCTTACAGTTTCCCTTTCCTTTTTTTTTCTTTTTTTTTTTTGTCTCGATCTTTATCATCCTCCCTATCGTATAGCCGGCCTACGTTTTGTATTTTCTTTGAACACACGCACACACCTACTTACACTTTCCTTTGCCAATCTTGACAGCCGCAGCAGTCCGTATCCCACATGGTTGCCTGGCTTTTTAGGGCATCTCCTTGAACGCTCTCTGCCCATCATGTTCAAGGCCTTATCAGCCGGGGGCCGTTCATCCGATGCCCGCAGCAGCTCCAGTTCTAAGAGAAGTAGCCGTCGCAGAACAGATTCCAAAGCTTCTTCAACAGTGAGCCGCAAGCCCTCACGGGGTGACGACCGTGATCGAGGCTTGGGTGACCTGTCAGCCTACTCATCGTCTGGAAACCACAGCAAGCGCTATGCGCACAGTGCGGCAGGCGATTCCATTGCGTCGAGCTATGCGACGGCGGAACCTCATAGCGCGATCGGACCCGACCGCAATATCATCCAAGGGGCACCGAGGCGCAGAGATACCGACGATAGTGAACGTCGTGATCGATATCCGGACAGCGATGACAAACCCCGACGCAGACGCACTCGCTCCCGATCGCAGAGTCGCGAACGAACCCGGGAACACCATGACAATACAGATAAGGTTGATGATGGAAATCGTGCAAGTGGCCATCGTCGAGAGCGGCAACGAACTCAGCCTGATGAAATGCCAAATGTGCCCATTTCTGGTGCTGGGGCAGACTTAGCTCCGAAGGTGGGAACTTTTGACCATCCTCAATTCCCCCCGCCGTTCCACAACACACTCCCAGTGACATCTATGCCAAGTTCGCCCAACGTGCCCAGTGTCTACGACCCTCATATACAGCAGCAGTTCCCGGGCCAGTTTCCGGCCTTCGTTGCCGAACCTTACCAATCAAACCCTGCAGGCGCAGCAGCCGATTACTACGGCGACCAGGGACAGTCAGTCGCACAACAACCCGGGGTTCGGCCTGAGCCACCAAAGATTATCCCCAATAACCAAGCGCACTTGATGCCAGCATCACCGCATCCCAACCCGCCGCCTGAGCCTAGTAGTATGGGACAGTCCCCCGCAGCGGCTGCGTATTACGCAGATGATGCGGATGACGCAGACCCAGAGATCCAAGTACCCGAACAATCAAGTAGACCGCCTTCAGGACCGACACCCAAACCTCCCAGGCCAGTTATACAGACTGAAGAGGTCTCCGGGCCTTTTGCAACCGTTACGCATGACGAAGGCAGCCCTCAAGGTATTGGCTCTGGGTCCTCTCCGTTGCTAGCCGAGTCCTCGACGCCTACGGTTGTCCCGCTTACTGGTGCAAACCCCTCCAAACCGCCCAATGTTCATGGTATAGGTCCAGTGGTAAGTGTGGCAGAAGGTTATATGACGGGCCATCATCATCAACCATCCTTGAACGTAGAACATTCCTCTCAGTCTGGCAATCAGAATCACGACGAGGGTTTCCCGAACGTTGTGGGATACGCTGGTCCATCTACGTATCCGGATCAGCTAAATGCACCACCCCTCTATACTGCTACTGAGGAGACAGCAGCGTACGCTGCCCACCCGTCGCATCCTCATCATGCAGCTCTCTACCACGGAGTACCATTTCAATCTGGGGGCTTGGCATTCCAGCAACGCCAACGGGGTCCGCTGGACAAATTACTCGACTTTTGGCGTGACGCAGAAGGGGTTGGTATGTTCGAGGATTACACCGAAACCATTGGTGTTTGCAAGCACTGTTTTGAACCGGGCACCTCGTCGCGCGACGCACCTCGAAAACATTATTATAGACCCCGCCGTCGCTCCCACAGCAATGGCTCTCGAGTGGACAAAGCTCGTCGTTACTCTTCTTCAGAGGACGAAGGTCGACGTCGCAAGAAAATCTCCACAAGCTCCTGGCTGCCTACAGTGCTTGCTGGGTACACGCTCTTCAAGACCAAAGACTCTGGAAATACTTATAATGTTCGATCAGGCCCACTCGTAAACTCGGCATCTGATAATGAGAACCTATCAACGCCTGAGGAGGGAAGTCACACATCTCGTGGTGTCTATAGGCGTTCACCCCGCCGCTCCTATGAAGACCCGCCAGACTACGGATCTCGACGGCTGTCCCGCTCAAGCTCCCGATCCTCGTCAAGGTCTAAGAAGCATCCTGCACTCCAAATTGCCGCTGACACAGTAACTGGGCCTACAAGTCAGCCACACCGCAGCCGGTCACCCCGGAAGTTCAAAAGTCGGGAATCCTCATCTTCTGAATCATCTTTTGTGGATATCTCTAGACCAGCCATGAAATCTGGGGGTAAAGGCTTGAGCTCATTTTTCACAGCCTATTCTGAGAATCGCAGAAAGTGGCAGCCTAAGAAGCGGAGAAGTATATTTTCATTCAACAACTCGTCATCATCCTCCCTAGATGCTGATTTAGCATTTGGAAATGGTTATGCCAAAAGATCACCAGGGAAATCTAAAAAGCGAAGCAGGAAGAAGGATCACGACAATGTGGATGCGGCACTACTAGGAATAAGAGAGAGAGCAGCTGTAATGGCTGATTCAGCTTACCATCCGAGTCAACGAACAGGTGAGCTACTTGTGAAAAAAGAACCTACATCCGCTCGTTTGGGTTATTCGTCGTCTGCTACCAATGACGACGCTTGGGAGGACGTGGACTCAGGGGACCAATCGTCATCCAGTGTCAGTTCAGCACTTGCTTTCGGAGGTAGTGGACTTTATGGTAGTAATGCGTCACCATCTTCTGATTCTGGTACATCCTTGTGGGGGTGGAGATGGGGAAACAGGAAGGGCAAGAAGCAGAAGAGAACGAGGTCCAACGCACCGGGGGGTCGTTTCCCTACTAATGCTGCTGTAGCGGTGAAAACAGCCGAATTAGCCCATGGCTATAACAATCGAGGGAGACGTACCAGCGAGGACATCGGTAGTGGTGCTGGGAAACTTCAACATGTGGCTCCTGTGCCCACCAGCGATCCTTCACGCTTTGACGCTGTCAACGTATGGCCTTCACAGCCGGCACTGATTAGCCGAGAACCTATCCCTCTTCAACAGCCCCAACCGGTGGCACCGGTCTCTCAAGCTGTCTATACTTCGCAAGGAGAGACGTTCCCTGCCTACACTACACCACCTCGTCCCCCGCCATTTGCCAATACCTTTACACTATATGACCACCAAGCTCAAGGTTCACGAGATAGCCCTAGGGAGCAGGAAATCCCCCTTTACCATGGATCCACTGATATGCCATCAAAAGTTACCCGGCCCCCTCGACGAAGTGACTCATCGCCTGTGTTTCACACGGAGTCTTTAGAGGGTACATCGGGTGTGAAGCGTCGTTTTACCATGAAAGACCAGGGTTCTGTACAGTTTGACCTTACTAGGGAGCAAATAGAAAGAGAGCGACGAGCAAATAACCTTGAGCGTCAAGAGCGTGATTATGGGCGCCAAGGAGTTCAACTCATTGATAGGGAGAGTGAGATGGCGACACGCGAGGAGAATGAACCTCGAGCGGAGAGAAGCCCAGCATCGTGGGTTGATCTAGGTACAGGTGTACTTTCCGGTCAAGGCTCTAACGGTGGCTCCGAATCCAGCCAGAGGAGTCATTACGAACGTTCAGAGAAACGGCGCGCAGAAAGACGCCGTGTGTCAGGTTCTGAAATATCATCCGGCTTTCCCATGCCTGAACGTTACAACGATGGTGTTGGCCAGCGCCCGAACCAGTTCACTGGGCAAGACCATGTTAAGACTTCAGTGTTTCGTGACATTCCCCGCAAGAAGCCAGTTCATGATAATTATGCACAATTCTTCGCGCCCGAAGAGTTGCAGTATAGCCCTGACACATACGCGCGTCGGGAACCCGCTTCAGTGCCCACTATCATAGAAGTGGAGCCTGTAAGTCAAAAAATAAAGGCAACAGAGGAGCCCCATCCAAAATATCGCGGACTCCCATGGCCAGTTCCAGAGCTCAAGCTGGTTGAGCCTACACCTCCTCAAAGCCAGAGTGGTTCCGTCAGAGATATTGCCTCCCCGATTCCATCGCCGCCAGAGGTCCCTGAAGATGATAGGGCATCAAAGCGATCAACAACAGGCTCCCGCGTATCTTGGGGCAAGGATGAGACTTGCGAATATGAAGTCCCATCTACATCCTCTGAACTTGACCCCGTCGATCATGACATTGCGGCAGACCGAGGACAGGAAAAGCAGACTGATAGTGAACCCGCCCGAGAAATTGTGACCATTCAAGAGGATCTGTCCAAAAACGCCACAGGTGAGTATGATCCTGATATTGAAGTCGCGGCAACGGCCGCTGCAGTTGCTGCAGCCTTGGGTGTTGAGCCCTCCTTCGTGTCGGATATCAGGGAAAAGCTCATCTTTCCGTCCGGAGCTCGTGACTGTGTTGGTGGGGCGGCAACACCCGATGATGGAACGAAGCAGCCAATTTTAGGGAAATTTGTTGCTAACAGTCCACTTTACTCTGAGCCAGTGTCGATGGGTGACGGTGTTAAAACGTTTCATGACAATCAACCTCCATCAATTGCGCAAGAAGTGATCCAGCAGCTCACCGGAGAGCAAGCACCTGAGGTGGGTGGACTTTCCGGAAGGGCTGTGGAAAAGCCAAATGAGGAATGGCAAACGTTGGTCTTTCGAGACAAGCGCTCTGGACCCGAGTCACCTCCAGAGGAAGCTTTGCATATGCCTAATGGATCCGAACTAGAGGAGTCAACCAGCCAGCAGGAGCCGCATGGGGCTACACAAGAACCAGCTCACGGTGATTCAATGTCAACTATCTCAGCTGCCATACCTAGACATAGTGAGAAACAGATGGAGGAAGCTAGTTACCGCAAGGACAGTCGCGAACCTGACATCCCTAGTAGAGCCAGTCCATCTGCCATTGAAGGCAGCTCTACTATTGGAAAGAAGCCAAGCAAAAGACATTCCAAGTGGGATACCGATGCTTTCGATGACTCCACCTCTGTGACATCTTCCCCAGCCAGAGTTGAAGAGACTAGTGATCGCGTCAGAAGTGCGGATGAACAGACAAAAGAAAACAGAGCAGGTGGTCTCTTAAGTAATATGTTCGGCTCTAAAGTTTCCGAGCCGGTAGCAAGCGATAGCTATCCGTCTCGCGAGGTTCAATCCGAAGTCGGGCCACCGGGTTCCAAGGAGTCTAGACGCCAACGAAGGGAGGAAAAGCGGCGGCAAAAGTACGGTGAATTAGCAGACTTGGGTCAATCAACCGAACGTGAGAAGGTATGACTCTAGCTATTTTCGTTGTTCGTAAACTGTGATTTACTCAGTTTATTCCTATATTCGATCTTAAGCAAGATGTATAATACATGTACTAAATGTCTTCCTTTCCATTTTCTTTGTACGCAGGACCGGACAATATCGCAAGACGGAGACGATCAGCCGTCTTTTTTAGCTGGAAGCCCCGAAATGCCTTACCAGGTTGGCGATGGTGATCGTGAAGGTGCTTCGGGGCATTTTTCCTCGACCGATGCAGAACTCACAGGCTTGGGACTAGATGTTTTCGAACAGCGGCCAAGAAGTCGTTCGGCATCACCCCCTGCATCGGGGAGATCTATCGACCTGAGCCCGAAGTCTCAGAGTAGACCAAACTCACCCCAGTTGGACCAGGGCCAGCAGTCGCGGCGGTCGTCCGGAGTTCGACCGACAGATTCTCCAACCGCCGTCCCTTTGCACTTTCGCCGGCCCCCAATCACATCACCACGGGCCCATCGTTCGCCTTCAGCCAGCTCAATTGCAGCGCCATCCCCTGGCTCTCCAACAGGGCGTTCTCGGCGTCCAGCTTCTGGTGAATTTATATACTCACGAGAGATGCGACCTCTGTGGCTTGTCGAGCACCATGGTTGCAAACATGAAGCTGAGGCCGAGGAACCCTTACCTTCTCTACCATCAAGTAAGACGTCATCAGCAAATGCATCCGCTGAGAACCTCGCATCTCTGCAGGATGAGAGGAACTGGGAAAAGCTTGATTTGAGCCCCAGTATTCATAGAGACCAACGGCCTATTGACGTTGATATGCCCTCTAATCCTCAACACGGAGTGCTTGGTTCCGAGGAAGTAACACCTACTGCCGCAAATTTCGGACATATGAATACCAATCAGCTACTTCGGAAGGATAAGCCCAAGTACGAGTTCCATTCTCCCTCTGAACTTCTTCAGGATCCGTCCACATATGCAGAGCTGCCTCCTTCTCCAACAATGGGGCCTCTTCCTTCTGCCGAGGGCTCTGCAGTCGGCGTAAAAGGCGATGGCGGGCTAGAGCGTAGCCTGGATAATCTTCCACCTCTACCTATGTCCCGACCTTCTACTCCTGAAAATGAACAACCTTGTGCTTCGGACGCTGCTGAAGTATATCCGACTGGAGAGCTGATAGCTCCTGACATTGAAGCGCCGAGGGCCTCCGGAAATGATACTCCTTCCGTAGATATCGACAAGCCTAACATGAAGGTACTGGACGGCGATCTACCGGATCTTCAGCCATCTGACGAGAAAACACCGACAAAAGCCGCCCAGGGTAGCATTGAGTCAGGCGATGCCTTAATGTCTCATAAATCAAGTTCCCGGGCTCTGCCAGACGAGGTTGTTCCTGTGCTTCCAGCTGTCCAAATCCCAATGACCGAGGCACTAGAGAAAAGTAGAGAGGATTCAAGACATTCTGCTACCAGCCCCGTTGACGTTGTTAATGTCGCAATTGCAGATCCTTTGCTACCTGCTGATGAGGAATTTGCATTATCTGCCGAACCGTTACAAGCTGTAACTATTGACGAGACAAAGATGGGAATCACTGCTACAACAGATGAGAAAACACAATCACAAGAGGCACAGCCTGGAATTCAATCTGAGTCACAAAAGTCTGCAACGGGAGATAAAGTGCCTTTGGCAAACGCCGAGGCTAAACTTGAGTCTAATACTAACCTCACTTCTGCCAAGATTACGTCTGTTGAAGATGAAGAAACAGAGATTGTTGACGGAGCAACAGTGACAGGATCACCCGAGCCAACGACGGGGAGCACAGACAAGGCTACCGATGAAGCAGTTCAAGCGCTCACTGAAGAACTAATAGCGGATGCTACTTCTCCAGGTTTATCGAAAAAGAAGAAGAAGAAAGTTAAAAAGAAAAATCCCAAGAGCGTGAATCTACATGAACAGGAGCTACAAGATACCGCAGCCACAGCTCGTACATTCCCTTCAACCCCCGAAGATGTTGAGAAAATGGATGGAGCAATTACTCCAGGAGAATCTTCAACTGAACAGATTTCTCCCCCAGATGGTACCGAGAAAGTTCCAGAAGTTGAGGTAGAGCCCGCCACAGACCTCTCCAAGCCAGACGAGGCAGCCAATGTACAAGCACCTGTGGATATGCCTGTTTCTGAACCCGAGCCTGTTGTAGATACTACCAAAACCGAAGACGCACTTGCTACTGAAAACGAGCTTATTGTGAAGGACCTCAAAGCCGGGGAAGAAACGGGTACGCAAGTAATTGAGGGACGCCCGCTTTCGAACTGGGAGCCTACTATCCAGGCCGAAAACCTACAAAACGTCGTTGACCTAGCGGCATTCATGAATCCATCTAAGCGGGAGCCTCCTTTGGAGATACCGCAGGCAGAAGATGCTCCCCTAGCTGCGGAAACTTCAGCAACTGAACAGAAACCTGATCCAGAGGTCTTGGGGACGGATGCGGCGCGGGCAACGCAGGCACCCCAGGCTACTATGATCCCAGTGCAAGGATTATCTAAAGCCGAAGATGCTTTTATCATTACAGATGTCCTTTTACCTGAGCAGGCGATGGCTAGGGCAGAAGAAGAAGCTCACCAGGAAAGCGTAGAATCGGATATAATCTTGGATCCTAATGCGAAGCGAACGTCTACTGAGAGAGAAGCAGCCGCAAATACAGATGGCCCTACCAACATTTTAGAGAGTGACGAGGACAGGAGGAAGGAGAGCAAGAGCTTTGATGCAAATGAGAGCGCCAAAGAACTTGGTGAGGCGGAAATCGTGACGTTCAGCAACACTGAACCAGTGATTGCTTCGCAAGCAGGTGAAGAGCCTTCAAAACCTATCATTGATGAGTATCAACCTGTGAAAGAAGCTTTACTTCGTTCCGAAGAAGAAATCACCTCCAGCTCTGAACATCCTGTTCAAAGTACAATGGAGAGGGCTGAAAGCCTGGAGTTTAGACGGCAGGATGCTGTCCTGCCTGAGGCACCCTTTGTACACGCAGAGGAGCTTGACGAACCAGGTAACGAATACCGACAGCCAGAACCACAAGACTCAACAGAACATAATAATGCCTCCGTTCGCGAGGAAGCTCCGGGAGTTGTCTATGAACCTAGCACTGCAGTGCTCGAGCAGCCTATGGAAGCTGGATTTGTGAGTGGCCTTGAAGGTGAAAATAGCCCTGAGGTAGATTTGCAGGATGGGTTAACCACCGAAATGAGTACCGTTGACCCTGCGCCGGTCGAATCTGAACCCGGACCATTACAATTGGAAAGTGAGCGAATTACCACAACAGAAGAGGCCAAAGCACCAATGGAACCGGGCTCCGGAAAGTTACCGCCAGAACAACAGCAGATGCAGGGTATTCCTGCGCCTGTTGAACCAATATATTCTCCCGAGCAGGCGGCTGAAGTTGCTGAGGCTAGTACAAGAGATACTGACGTTACCGACGCGCCAACTGAAACTTCCTTGTCGCGACGAAGCAGCAAGGAGAACAAGAAGAAAAGCAAGCGCGATAGTGTTACGGAGTCACCCATGGAGAAAGGGACGTACGATGTTCCACCTGGTGTGCCCTCTAATGAAGAAGCCACTCCCCAGGTGGGAGACGAACCTGCTGTGTCCCTCGGAGATGAGCCTGAAGTAAGGCAGCCCGAGGAAGCCCCGGGTAATGCACACAAGGGTGCTATGGACGTTTCACCTGAAACAACACCAGGTGCCGCTGCAGATACACCAGCTGAGTCTCAGGATGCTGGCTCGGCGGAGACAGGCCAGAAAGCCGGCCCAGAGGAAGCTCCGGAGGGACAGCCAACGAAGAACGGCAAAAAGAAAAAGAAAAATCGCAAATCCATATCTTCTGATTCTCAAGCTGTGGCCGATGCAGAGACCCAACCTCCACCCTCCGCAGAGGGGCTTCCTGCCGAGACCCCACTGACGGAAACAAGCGATGTGGTTCATCCCACGGATGGCAGGCAGGTACCACAGGAAGCTACTGCGACTGACGAGGTAACAGAGATGACTGAAGCAGTAGACGCTATTCCAGCGGCAGAAAATGAGTCCAATGTACCTGTGGAGAACCACGCTAAGACCAAGGATAGTACACCGCATATGGTTGAGCATATCCCAGACGATCCTGTGCCTGACCCCGAACGTGAAGCGGGGGAATCTACAGCGGCAGACAAGAAGAAAAAGAAAAAGAAGAAAAAGAAACAAAGCTTGCAGTCCGCACCCGACGCTCATATAGCAGCTGCTGAACCCACGTCGAGCGCAGAAGTCGCAAGTCCAAACATAGACGGTGCTGTTGCCACCGAAAAGGCCCCAGCTATGGAGGGTCAAGAACTAGTTCTGGAGGAGACGACTGGAGGCGAACAGGCTTTCGACGTAATCGAAGCCGCGGAAGACACGGCTTCACCGGGAACAGCACCCGCAATGACTGCGGCTCAAAAGAAGAAGGCTAAGAAAGAGAAAAAGAAGCAGCGCAAATCTGCTTTGTTGGATGAACCACCAGCTTTTGACCCCGCTTCTGATCCGAGCCCAGAAAATGCTTCTTTAGAACTTGACCTAACCTCTGTTGGAGAGACTGCCCCTGTCAAAGGACCTGAGGCACATGATGCTTCAACCGAGGGACCGACAGTTGTAGATGAGCTGGCGAGTGAACAACTTCTGGTTGAAACGGTCACAAATACAGAACCCGACGTTGCGTTGAAAGTGGACCTGAACGAGCGATACCAAGAACCTGCGCAGCAAGAGCCCAAAGAAACGCCCACAGACAATACTGGTATTTCAGCAATTGAAGCAGGAAATTTAGAGCTCGGCCAAACACAGCTTACAGATCATACACCTTCCGACTTGGAAGGTAACCCTGCCAATGAAGAGCATTCAGGAGCTGGTACTGGGGAAAGACACATGGTTGGAAGTTTAGGAGTTGAACAAGAGGCCACACGTGAAAAGCCAGCTGAGATAGAGCCTGGCAACTCCACGCTCGATGCTGCACCAACCATGACTGCGGACACGGCTCTGGAGCAACTTAAGGAAGAAGCACCAGGCGATGAAGCTACCCCATCACACACTGCAGATGCCGAAGTCTCCTTGACCGATGTTATGCCACAAGACGCTCTAGAGCAACCTCAGAAGGGGATGCTTAGTGATGAAGCTGTCCCAGAACAGACTGAAGATACCCAGGTCTCCTTGACTGACGTTATTCCGCAAGACGCAATTGATGAGGAAGCTGAAGCTTTTACTTCCAAGAGGTCTAAGAAGGATAAAAAGAAAAAGAAGAAACAACAGTCAATTTCCTTGGATGATGATCAGCCTGCGGCCGCTAGGGAAGGGACTGTAGAAGAGCCTTCTGATGCACGTTCGGATTCACTTGAAATTTCCGGGAAACCGCAACTTTCTCTCTCTGATAATGTTGAAGAAGAGCCACAACACGCCTTTTCAGAAAAGCCTACGCAACAGTCGGAAACAAATAAGCCTGAGCCCGCTGAGTCTCCAGAGCAGGCCGACCTCACAGGGCCTGTAGAGTTGGAACCTATGGCGGATACCCAGGAATCAATCTCCAAGAAGAAGGCCAAGAAGGATAGGAAAAAGCGCAAGTCTGTTTCTTTCTCAAACAACGAACAGGAGGTTCCCACGAAGTTATCTGAAACCACGGAAGCAACAGAAGCGAGTCGGCATGTTACAGAAGCTAGCCAACCTCCAGAGCAGACAACTAAGGAAATGGCAGAAGCTAGTGCCCTAGTTCAACCAAGTCAGGAAAATGTTGATAGCACTACTGCCGACGAGGTACAGCCTGGAGAAACAGCTGCAGACCTACCCAAGGACATTTCTATAGTCGCACTTGGGGAGGATGGTTCAGAGTCTAACAAGGGGGTCGTACCACGTGACGAACAAGTTACTCAGCTGTACAAGGATTCTGTTACCGAAGCACAAGCCAGCACATTAAGGCCCACAGACACTGATCCTATTGGTCAGACACCCTCAATGGCAAGAGAGCTAGTAAATGAAACTACAGTTCCTGGACCAGGAGGATATACCAATGAAGATGCTTCAGTGGTAGAATCCCCGAAGGAGCAACAAGTACAGCAGGATGCAGGCATTCTGACCGTGCTAGAGACTAGCGAGGAACATGAAGTCGAGTCCACTCCGGAGGCGCCTGTACCTGAAACACCCTCTACTTCTGTGCAAGAATCTACCGTGGTAGTCCAGGATCCTGAGCAAGAGGGTGCCCCCCCCAAGGCAAAAAAAGACAAGAAGAAGAAAAAGAAACGCAAGACCCAAGAAACAATTGAGAACGAGGCAACTGTTGTACCTGAATCAAGCACCGAAGAGGCACCCGTGCAAGCTGAAAAGGATAGCCGTACTGCAGCTCCGGGGGTTATCGAAGAGGCAATTGAGCCGAACAATGTTACGAAGGTTTCCGAGATCTCCAGTCAAGACGTGCCATATTTGATGCCGGAGAGTATTGTTGAACATACGCGAGCTGAAACCGAACAGGCAGTTGATGTTACTGTTCACGAGGTGAAGGAGTCGGAAGGAACCGAACAGCAGGCGAGTGAGCAGCCTGAAAATCCCCTGAATGATGGCACACCGGCTATGTCGGCGAAAGAAAGGAAAAAGGCGAAAAGGAAGGAGAAAAAGCGCCAGTCAAAAAACCTGGATGGCAGCAGTGCTGCCCCCAATGCCGCGGAGTCTGCCTCAGTTGTACCGGAAGAAAAGACTCAAGGTCCCTTGATAAATGCGTGCACCACTTCAGCTGAAGATGGCACGCATGATGCAATCGAAACCCAAGTCTCCGCTGAATTGAAACCCTCAGACCCTTCGGTTGATACGGCAACCCTACCTGCTGAAGATGACGGTAAAGAAAATCAGTCCCACGGCACCGAGTCCCACGGCGAGAACGATAAGAATCTGTTTTGGACTGATCACATGGTATCTTCGCAGGTAGATCAACGGCAAGCCACTCCCTTCGACTCTCCTACCCAACCCGTGCTTGAGAATACCGAAGCCGATAAAGTAGCTGTCTCCGACGAACCAGTCCCACTGTCTGAGGAAATTGAGGTAGGAACTGAAGATCATGCGTCAAAGACGGAGCAGGAGGCTACTAGCGAGGTAGATAGGGTTTCCCTCGAGCACCTGCCCACTGAAAGCCTTTCAGCGGAGGTAGACGAAAGTGGCAAGACACTTACGCCAATTCGGGACGAGTTAGCGAGCCAGCGAGACACGACTACGGAAATCACGGGTCAAGGGACTATGAAAGATACGATGCCGGCCCAGACGGATGAGAAGCTTGAAGAAAGGGATAAAGAACCTGTGCCTGAAGCATGTCTCGCTGCTGTTGAGGTACCAGACGCTTCCGTGGATGGTCCACAAGCAACAAATGAAACAGCAGTTCCTCTCTCCCCTGCTGAAGCTGGCGTTCCCGAAGACCTGAGAGAGACAGACAACAGTTTAGCTATTGACGTCGAGAAGCTTGAAGCAACAGAGCCTTGGAAGGAATTACATCAGGAGCAACGATCAGAAGATCCTCAACCAGAGAATACTTTTTCTGAGTCTAATCTATTCTCTACGAAATTGCCCGAACATGGCACGCGCGAAGCCAAAAAATCAAAACTGCAAGTGGGCAGCGCTGGACTAGCCCCTGAAAGTGACGCAAAGGAAGACGAGACTGCGAGCCCTAGAGAAACGAGACTGGAAAGTGTTAATCTCGTTTTAGACTCACTAACAGCGGAAGAGTCTCACTGCGGTGGTGCAGAGGTGACTAACGCGTCGAAGTCTGCCAAGGAGGCCCTGAGTGAGATACAGGCAGAGCCCGGGAACTGTTTGTCAGCTGGCTCAGGCGAGGAGAACAGGGATGTGTCAGATACGGCAGGAGAAAAACCAGGTGACATAGAGACAATCGCTGAACTTTCGGAAGCCAATAAAGGGGCAACATTAGATCCCGTGGAATCCTTGGGTTTAGGGAGTCAACCATTCGCTGAGAAGGAACAACTGCAAACTAACATTGAGCCTACACCCGAACGGTTGAGCCACAAAGAACTGATTGATGGTGCTAAAACAGGCGGAGAGGAAAATATGACGCAGCCTTTGGGCCGTAACGCGTCGAAAAAACAGAAGAAGAAAGCGAAGAAACAAGCCAAAGAAACGTCACTAGAAACCGCTGATTCTTCACTTGCCGAGTCCAAGAGAGAAATAGATGCAGAAAGCGGCCCTGAAACAATAGTCGGCTCCTCGGCAATGGCTGATGCCGCTGAATCCAGCTTGGCACCTGAAGAAAAGCCCATGCAGGGCCAAAAAGTGCAAGGTCCACAGAGCGAGTCGGGCGTATCGAAGCCGGCATTCGATGCTGTATCTGCAACCGAAGAAAGAAGTGCGTCTATGGCTAGGGAGTTTTCTGGCCAGACTCGGGCCACGCATGAGTTACAGGAGGGAGATGGCAAAGACGCTGAAGCCCAGATAAAGTTGAGTAATCAGACTTACGAGGGATGGGATCTTGAGGTAGCCAAAGATCGGACTGGAGGGCAAACCACGCAACAAGAAACTCCAGTTCCCAGGACCGTATCAAAAGAGGAGCAAGGGGGGTCTAAGCAAGAGGCTAAGCTGCAGATCACTGAGCAAACAGAGCAACCAGCATCGGGGGGAAATACCGAGTCTGCTGAGGGGGACCTACTTAGTCAGGAAGCAAAGCCAGAGAGTTCGGAGCCTCCAATGGCTAAAGCAACCAGCGCAGAAGATTTTCCTCCGAAAGCATCATCTCGGGAGAACAAGCAGAAGAGTGAAGATAACATGAGCGTAGACACCAAGGAGCCAGAAGAAACTAGAAGTGTCAGTGAAGATGCAAACGTGAGGCCTTCCCAAGGCCAATGTCATCCAGAGACATTGGCAACGGAGAGGTCTGCAAAGGACAATGAATGGCCTTTGATAGATTGGGAGAAGGAAAGAGTCGATGCTTTAGAACAGACTCCCCAATCTTCACCTGAAGCTGTCGCGGCCCCATTTGAGCCAGGTATTGCCGATTTCGATGAGTTTGCTATTCCAGAAGGGCTAACTAGATAACCAGACGAGTCGGCTGAAGCCATAAAGGCGAAGGCGAATATGGGGCCGCAAGGACAAGGTTCGGAGGCAAAGCTTGCGACTCCAGAAGCAATTGTCGACACAGCGGAGTATGTTGCTGACGAATTGGCTCCGTCAACGGAGGAGCCCGGAACGGAGCCAGCCTCGAAAGCGACCCGAGAGCATACCCTAGACGATGCAGAAGGCTCTATTCCAGCGAAGCAGGCGATGGGAAGCCCTGGCTCGGTTTCCTGGAAGCAAAGCAAAATTGCCAGTATATTTCCTAACTTGGAACGAGGCGCATTTCGGCGACCTATTACCATCGAGTCGTCGGAGGCAGTAAAAGATGGGGCTGAGGATGAGACCAATGACCAAGGAGTGAGTCGCGGAGACGCGATCCAGGTCTCGGAAGCACCCATCGCTGCCACTGATGGTAAGGACAACGACCACTTGGCGGATGCTCTTGTGAGTTCAGAGCGGCCGACTACTGCTACGCTAGAGGGCCTCCCAGGAGAGGCTACGATTCGTGATATCCAAACGCCAGTTGCATCTCGTTCAGTTCAAGGAGACCACAATGACTCCAAGGATGTTCGAAATACACAAGCTGAATTAACTGAGACAGGTTCTCTTGCGCGGGAGATTCTATTATACGCCCCAATACCAACCCACGAGCAACCGCCTGCATTTATCAGCTCCTCGTCGAATGCTATGAGTATAGATCGGCAAGCAAGCCCCGGGTCTCTCTCTAAGCTTGGTTGCAGCCCGTTAATCCAGAGAATGTGCGACCCTTCCCCGCGGCCAAAGCCATCGGAAGAAAATACACCACCTGCACAACCAAACAGCGCACTGCCATCCTCAACCTTTGGGGTGCCATCGGTGGTAGACAGAGGCGCAATCTCCCCTCCCCGGACCCCATTGCAACCTATTGCAGAACATGGACCAGTTGATCGGACAAGGACCCCAATAGGAGCCATGCGTCAGGGACATGGAATGCCCTGCTTGGAGATGAAGCCAGAACATGTGCTTCCGGTGCCCGAGACACCGGTCAGGAAATTTACAGACAACGCTCTGGCGCGCCAGGCATGGCCTACACTTGACAGGGATGAAGACCAAGACTTTCACATCAGGAAGCGTGGTTCAGCCAGATCTATTGACCGCGAATGGCCTGCGGAAGCCGTTCAAACACCGGAAAGAGGCATACCAATCCTGAGACCGAGCAGTGTCAGTAGCATTAAAAGCGTGCACAGCGCACACTCCCAGCGGTCGCTACGACGGATGGATCGCAGCGCTGGCGGCGATTTGCGGGCGGCGAGCCAAGCACAAACAGACGCCCGCCAATCATCGCGCAGCCCCCAGCCACCACCTATCGAGGCCCCTCCTTCCGACCTCAATATTGAGCACATAGCTTCCTCCTCTTCCTACGACCCCGTCACCGATAAGGGCAAACGGCCCCTGCGAGCCATGACCGATGTTTACGTAAGTAGTCTTGGTTACCATATAATATTTTCCTGTGGTTTAGCCAACTCACATTTGTTTACCTAGGAGGGTTGGGGGGAAACGCCGAACTCGCCTCGGTCGCCTAGCCGACCGCCCAGTATCCGGCACCGTCGAAGCATGCAACACTTACAAGAACTTGAGACTCGCCTCGACCAACTCATTTCAGAAAATCGCTTACTTGTTGCTGCGCGAGAAGCTGCTGAAGACAAGCTCCGCAATGCAAGTGTTGCTCGTCGCAAGAGTGACCATGCGCTCAACGAGCGAGCTGCAGACTTGCGAGACAGGGAAGCTGAAGTGGAACAACTCAAGAATTCAGTAGAATGGCTTCAGAAAGAAGTATCTCGGTTGACTGAAGAAAACGAAGGGCTGACTGTTGCGAACTCCAACATTACCGTCGCGCATGCTACCGAGATTCAAACCATACGGGCGTCATCAAACCGTGAGCTAGACGATTTGCGCCTACAGAACCAGCAGTTGTCGAGCGAAATGCAAGATAGAGTACGTCAGCAGATCGATGTGGCACTGGCTCAGAAGAATATGGAGCTGCGCAGGTTGCGAGAGGACTTGGAGAGCGCCCGGGACAAAGTGGAGGAACTACAACAACAGATCGCCGCATCCGTGCAAGATAGCGTATTAGTCTTCAGGGATGAGGACTACTTCGACGCAGCGTGCCAAAAACTGTGTGGCCATGTTCAACAATGGGTGCTACGCTTCTCTAAACACTCCGACCTACGCCGCTGTCGCAAGCTCGACGATCTTCAGGACGAAAAGATAGCAGACCGGTTTGAAAATGCTATACTAGATGGATCCGATGCTGACGTCTATCTCTCCGACCGGGTTCGTCGACGCGACGTATTTATGTCGGTGGTAATGACAATGGTGTGGGAGTTTATTTTCACTCGCTACCTGTTCGGCATGGACCGTGAACAACGGCAAAAGCTCAAGTCTCTTGAGAAACAGCTAGGTGAGGTAGGCCCGCGCGGTGCAGTTCATCGTTGGAGGGCTACTACCCTAAGCCTTCTCTCAAAACGATCTACTTTCGCCCGGCAGCGTCAAAACGATACAGAAGCTGTGGCCTTGGAGATTTTTGAGACGCTGTCCCGTCTTCTACCACCACCAAGCAATGTAGAGCCTCAGCTTCTAGAGTCCCTGCGCAAGGTACTGAGGGTTGCAGTCGACCTATCTATTGAAATGCGCACGCAGCTGGCGGAATACATCATGCTACCTCCCCTACAACCTGAGTACAATACCAATGGTGACCTTGCACGAAAAGTCTATTTCAATGCGTCCCTAATGAACGAGCGCAGTGGCGAAACTACTTCAAATGAGGAATTGGAGTCCCAACAAGCTGTGGTCCGGGTTGTCTTGTTCCCTTTGGTAGTGAAGAAGGGCAATGACGCAGGTGAAGGCGAAGATGAAGTAGTTGTTTGCCCGGCGCAAGTGCTCGTTGCACGTTCTCCTAAAGATAAGAAGGTTACCAGAATGCTCAGTGGTGACCGAATGTCCCTGGATGGCACCAGGTCCATTCACAGTATCGCTCCGTCGTCGACCATGGACATGAGCAATGTGATTTGAGGCGTCACACTCGATCATATCTCGTCATGGGCCCACCTCGACCGTTGCTGATGGGCGAAAATCATTGAGAAAACAACAGAGTGGTTATATTTTCTTTTGGGGATGGCAAATGGTATAGTAGTTGGGGCGTCAAGGTCAAAGATGGATGGTTGGATATTTGGTCAATACGGCTCGGTAATACAAAAGGTAATAATAATCGAGATGGGAGTGGGACCTGATTTCTCTTTTCTTTTTTGTTTTTTCTTTTTCTTTTTCTTTTTCTTTTTCTTTTTCTTCTTCTTTCTGTCGTCCAAATTACCCCCTTTTCCTTGCTTTACCACTGTTACTTTTTTATGAAGACTATGACGATGCCAACATCTCCGTCTACTTTCTAGAGCTTATGATGTCACGGCCTTATTTTTCTCTTCTTGATATAATGACTGCTTTTCTATGTATACGAGAGACGAGTTGGATCATGTTCATTATCTAAGGGCTCTCCTTCGAGGACATACTTATGTGGTGTACTTATGTACTTATAAATATTTTGTTCATTTTGATACCATGCAATGTCAATGAATTAGGTTTCATAGGGCCCGTAGGGTAGAAAAGCGGAGTGCTGACCTCATACATCATACATACCGAAAGTTAAAGCTCAAAAGAAACAATCGTGGGGCCTGAGGCTGACGCAAACCAAATTTCCAAAAACTGGGCTGTGCCTTGACCTCCCTTCCCACGTACTCTCTCACTCACACTCGCTGCTCGACACCGTCTTTTTCTCCTGCAGCTCAGGCGACTATTTTCTTCCAGCGAGCGTCTCTTTGATGGAGTTCTCCCTTACTCTTATCCATTTCCCCATGTCCCACCGCAACTCCCCACAGGTTCCATTTTCGCCAATCGTTGTTTCTCACCCCGTGTTTCGGTGAATTGGCGTCGACAATGCTGGATTCTGTTGCACTGGGCCTATCACAACTGCATACACATTGAACTGGGATTTGGTTCAGATCCGGTACTTTATTGCCCAATTTAGGGTAGGCTTGTGCTCTACAAGGGTGATAAGTATACTCGGCTTTCTTCGGTCTACCAATCATCGTGGATATCTCGCGTTCTGCACCCTCCGATCAGCATGGCTGACACTCCATCGGCTGCGTATCAAACTGGTTCCAATCATGGTTTGCCTTCTTCACAAGATGGCCACTCCGTCAATTCACGTCCAGACACTCGCCGCTCCACTACCTATGATCCCTTAGCTTCCGAAACGACCCAAGACCCTCAGGTAGATAGCAAATCCACCACGGGAAAGCGCGCAAAACGGAAGAAGAAGCATCGGAAACGTCGTAATCGTCGGCAATCTTTCATCAGTGTCGAAGACCCTCATGCCGGAGCTCCTACTACCCCGGGGCCCGAAGTGGAACATATGGCTATGATGGCGGATCAGACCAAGTCTCGAGGTGCGCTTCCATTCTACAAGCTGGGGAGAGACTTAAGTAGCACTAGTCTGGAAAGTGAAGCTTTACTGGACCATCGGTACGTGTTGTCTTCGGTGCTACCGTCTATACTAGTTTTATCACTGACCCAAGTCCGGGATTGCCCAGGAATCAACCCATGATGCGGCCGCGCAGAGACAGCCGACTTGCTCAATCTTTTCGACCCGGGTCCTTGTCCACTACAGTCCGTACCGGTGATTTGGGCTCTCGTAATCAGCCATCTGGTACAAGAACTCTTCCTGTGGATGATGACAGCGATTATCCTGATCCTGTGGATGATCGGACACCGTTGATGCGCCCGTCATCCGCTCATAGGCCCAATATCTCTCGATACGGAACCGATTCGAAGTCAACTCCATTCAGTTTTCGTCAACGACATTCATCAGTCCAAACGAACTCGTCCCGATGCTCACCTCGTCGTATCCAGAGCCCCGGGCTTCCCGAACAGGACCGCGATTATGATGTCAACAATCCACCGTCGATGCCAACTTCGCCGAAGCTTGGGGCGGACATGGGCTATGATGATGCGGTTGTGACGGGGGCGGATTTTGACTTCTCGTTGGCCAAGTCTATTGACAATCGGATGGAATCGATGCCCCGGTCACACGACATGGTAATTGATGTTGAAAGCGGTACCAATCGAATCCGAAGCTCTCCCCCATCTTCCGTGTCGCCGCGGCATCGTCCTCCGCAAGAAGGTCTCCTTCGACGTCGAACTTTACCTGTCGAGGAAGATGTTTGTTTTCCGACTGAGGAAGTATCCGAACTGGCCGAGGAGGACGCAACAAGGGCACCGCGTGAAACTGAGCGTCGGAGACGGCGGCGCAGAGAATGGCCCGACCTATCAGTTTTGGAGGAATGGAGCCGCGAGGAAAAGGAAGAGCGTACGGGTGATTTTCGAGCAAAGAAGATTAGCGAGCCTGTCCTTATCGAGGGTCGTCTGCGCCCACAGTATCAGCTTTGGCGACGCGAGGAAGAGGAGGCTCCTTATCGATTTACATACTTCAATGAGGAATTCCAAAGTACGATACACGCCCAGACCATATCAGAGCTGGTACAACCGGGAAGCAGTTTTCGCGAGCTTTTTATCCCTGACCCTCCCGAATTGGAGGTTTCTTCAGACGAAGAGACGGATTCCGATCATGACCCTGAAGAAGAGGCCATTGACAATAAACATCACAACAACCACGGTTTTGATGGAAACAGAGCTTCACCTTTTATTAGCAGTCACCATGATAATATGAGCGGCCCTAAGCAACAACCTCGTATGTCTATCATCAGCGAAGCTGTTTCTGAAGCACGCACGTCAGCAAATGCCTCCCCGTCTCGACGGCCGCAGCAACAAACGAAGCCCAAAAGGTATGGGCCCCGGCCAACCTTCTGGCTTGATGTTCTTTGCCCTACGGATGCAGAGATGCGAGTGATTGCCAAAGCCTTCGGGGTCCACGCGCTCACAGCAGAGGACATCATGATGCAAGAGGCACGGGAGAAGGTTGAACTGTTTCGAAATTATTATTTTGTCAATTACCGAACCTTCGATCAAGACCCAAATAGTGAGAATTACCTGCAACCAGTGAATATGTACGTGGTTGTGTTTCGAGAAGGAGTCTTGTCCTTCCACTTTTCTCAGACACCTCACCCGGCGAATGTACGCCGGCGGATCCGTCAACTGATGGACTACTTGATCCTAAGCTCTGATTGGATATCGTATGCCATAATTGATGATATTACCGACGTCTTCGGCCCGCTGATCCAGGCTATCGAGGATGAAGTCGACGAGATTGATGGCATGATCATGAAAATGCACTCCCCTGAGCCGGTAATGGGCCAAAACAGCAAGCTAGAGGACGATGGTGTTGAAGCCTCGACTACACTAGCTCCGGGTGAGGTGCTTCGAAGGGTAGGGGTTTGTCGGAAGAAAGTGATGGGCATGTATCGACTGTTGAGCAACAAGGCAGATGTTGTCAAAGGCTTTGCCAAGCGGTGCAACGAGCAGTGGGAAGTGGCGCCGAAGTCAGAGATTGGCCTATACTTGGGAGACATTCAGGATCACATCATGACAATGACGAGTAGCTTAACCTACTACGAGACGTATGTTAAATCTCATCTTTCTAGGATGTTTATAACTGACCCAACCATCAAGGCTGCTGTCCCGAGCACATTCCAATTATCTCGCACAGATCAACATTCTCATGAATGAGCGTCAGGAACAGACGGCGGATGTATTGGGCAAGTTGACCGTGCTGGGAACAATCGTTCTTCCGCTTAACATTATCTGTGGCATGTGGGGGATGAACGTCAAGGTACCGGGTCAGGATGTGGATAGCTTGACGTGGTTCTGGTCGAGTAAGTTTCCCTTGCTCACACACAACTACATGACTGACTAACATCCTATCTCTGATCAGTTACGGCTGGTTTGATCATGTTCGCCTTTGCGTCATTTCTCATTGCCAAACGAGTGTATAAGATTGTATAGCTTATAATGTGACAACGCATTGCACCTTGGAAATCAGTTTACGATGTGTCCGGTAATCCAGTCTACATTTGTCTAAAGGGGCTTTATTGATGCTATATGCGGTCATGTACTACTGGCTAGATCTCTGTTTGGGCTTGTATACAGATTGACGGCTTGGAGCTATTTTTCCTAGCTTTTATTTAAGGAAAAATAAACCAAATAATAGTAAAGTGAACAATAGATAAATTCAAAAAATAAAATAAATAAAATATAAAATATAAAATATAAAATATAAAATATAAAATATAAAATATAAAATAAAAACACAAACACAAACACAAACATAAAAACGCAAAAAAGAGGATTCTTTCCGCCCTTTTTATGAACTTGGAGTTTTCCCTTCGAGTTCAATCAAAGGCTGTGGGGTTTGTTTATATCTGTATGTAACATTGATTTATTTTATTTTTTTTTTTCCCTAACATTTTAGTTAGGACGGGGAATACACAGTAAGTTAGCTTCGTGAAGGTACACAGTGTAATTTTTCCATTCTCATGAGGTCATGATGACTGAGTATAAAACTTGAATAATTCATCCCGTTTCTATTTTGTAACAGTAATTTACTTTCCCGGCGTGTCAGCGCAGGCTCGGTTTCTTTTTTTCCTCCCTTGAATAACCTTTAGCGTTTTGGACTTTCCGGGCCAGGTTCTTCATCATTACCGCATCGATCTCCTCCTCCTCCTTATCATCATCATTCTCACTCTCTTTTCTCTTCCTCTACCCACAGTCACTTCCTACCTCTACTACTACCACTACTACTATTACCCATTCCTGCTGGATACCACCCAACACAATCTTTGGGACCTCCTTTGCGCCCGCCCCCCTTTCGGTGCTCCTTATCATTCGGGTGTTCCTCCGCGCCGTTCCCACCGCTAACCTATCCTTGTGGGTGCCTTCCTGCCTGTGCGCCCCAGATCGTGTCCTCGGCCTTCCAAGTTCCCACACTAAACCTTTCGTTCCTTGACGTGGGCCCCTGTCATTGGCCTCGGTTTCCCCCTCCCCTGAGTGGGTGGCCGATAGTCCAGTCTACTACTATTCTTTCCTTCCATTACCGTCCTCCTGCACCTGGTTTAGTCAACCAACTAAACCTCTCTGGCTGCATTCGCTTCGGCCCTGCGAGCTCGACTGGTTTGAATTCGTGATTCCTTGCGTCTGACGGTTTGTTCGTTCCTACTGGAACCGCTTTCGCCATTTCCTGAGTGCTCTCTAAACCCGAATCGATAATAGCCAATACCAACGACTCTCAGATCTCGTCCGCTGCCCAGGGCCAGTTCAGTGGCCTTTTAACGTGGGTTTCGATCGACGGTAATTCCCGTTGGCTAAACGGGCTCGGAGCTTATGTTCTAGACGTTCTATCTCACCGTCTTCTGATCAAGTTATGTCCACACTTGCGCCCGCAACTTTGACTTCGGTCTGCCTGGATTATTCTTTGATTTCTTGAGAAGTGCAAATCATTCACCCTACTTGTTGCCTACAGACAACTTACAAAATCTTACCTTTCCCGTGATATTCTTCTCGTCAGCATGTGGCCATCGTCTATTCGTCCAACTTCCTCGCCCGTGTAACGTGTTTTTGTGTGCGACAAAAGATCATCATTGTGTCGAATCCGTCGACCTCTTAGATTGACTCTTTTCGAGTCAAGGATCTCCTGACTTCTCGGGTTTTATTTTGTTTATTTATTGATTTATTCTTTCTTTTCT